CACGAGCGAATATTCCCCGAGGAAATATATTATAAACGTCTAAATTCGTGTGGAAAATCTTTTCATTATGCGTCACCAGCCTCACTTTAACAAGGCTCTCCGCGATGCAAAGTATTCGAAGGGAAATCCTCGTGAGATTCCGAAACGGGTATAGAGAAGAGCCGAACAATGCGTGCCCTCTTCTATTGTATTGTTTGTATACCACTAAACTAAAATAATTGTTTTGTACGCCTTTTATAACAAAAAAAATGTTTACTATTGGATTAATCAACTGAAATACATACACATATTTTTAATAACATAATTTTAATCGAACTAATGGTTGAATTTTGGGAATTGAAGAAGTAGTAGCGAATGAACCCAATACAAAAATTCAAATTCAATTAAAATAAGTTTTCATCATATAATAAAAAAAGTATATTTTCTGAGCTAGCTATACTGGGTGATTAAATATATATATTATTCTTATTAAGTGGCGCACAACGTGGGGCCGGTAAAATATAGTCATTTTTAAAAGTTTCTTCTAATAATTTACAAATTTAAGATTAATTGAATCTAATAACATTTGCAATATAAAACTATTTCAATAAAAAATATAATACAGGGTGTGTTATTAGTAGGGAAACATCGCAAGGAGGATAACTAAGAGATGGAAAGAAGATTGGTGAAGCAGATAGCGTTGAGTAGACGTTAGAATAGATAATACAAGTATATTTGTATCAGGGTATTGTGCAATTCAGTACATGAAACAAGGGAGATCAAAACAGAAACAGGATGGAAGTTTGGGAGATTGCAGAGAGGAGCTGGATCGTATAGTAAGGAGCAAAAGGGGAAGAATTGGAAAGTAAAGGATAGGATGAAAGAGAAGGAGAAAGTATTAGTAGTCAGGGACTGCAGGTGAGACCACAGCAGTTGATTTTTATGAATAAAAATATTACCCATATTGAGGGGGATACGAATAATGAGGGAAAATTTGGAAATCAAAATAGATGGAGTGAAAATAGAAAGTTTAACAGAAATGAAAAAAATAAGACAAGAGAATGAGGAGTTTAGAATGCAGATTACAAAAGTGAGAGAGGAAGTTAAGGAGCAAAATAAAAAGTTACGGACAGAAATAGAGGAAAAAGGGGTAAAAATTGGGTTGGAAATAGGAAAAGATGTGAAAGAAAAAGTGAGTTAAAAAAAAATACTGAAGAAAATTTGCCAGGGGAGATTCAAATAGAGGTGACTAAACAGACTGATATGTTGAATAGGGAAAGTGGACTCGTGAAGTTACAGGGACAGGTAAATGAAGAGGTAATATATAATTTTAAAGAAAATCTTGACAAGGAGATAATAAATTTGACAGTGACAGTAGAGGAACAAGTAGTGAGTTGTATTAAAAGATCTGAGATAGGAGAAATAAATTTTAGAAGGGAAATAGAGGCGCTGAGTAGGAAAATGTAAAACATACAGGAAATTTTAAGAATAGAGCAAAATTTAAGACAAAATTCAAGAAAAGGATTAACTGTAGTACCTAATTACATTAGAAGGTACATTAACAGATATTTTATGCAGTTGTTAATTCGAGCAGTTCTTTTTGCTAAGAAAACAAGAATTGGCATTTCGTAGTCATAATGAAGATACATCTTCCGAAAATCGCGGTAATTTTAAGGAACTTTTAGATTCCCATCTCACTCAATTCTGTAGACATTCAAAAACACTATAAAAAAATTTTGATTCAAAAAAGTTAATTTTTTCAGCACTTTCCAGAAAAAGAACATGTGGCAACAATGTAAATAAAAACTTGAAGTACATATAGGAAGTCTAGTAAAAACCGCATTTTCAAGATACAGGGTGTTGAAATTGAAAAAAAAATTCTGCGCCACTGGAAAAAGTACGGTTTTGAGACGCCCATTTGAACCGCCAATGTTTTCTACACAAAAAAGGTACTCTTGGTCATACACTCTAAAGTCGACTGTTTTCGAGAAAAATCAAATTTTGTTTCATCAAGTATGTATGACCATGTATTTCAACATTAAAATTTGATTTTTCTCGAAAACTGTTGACTTTCGAGCGTATGACCAAGAGTACCTTTTTTGTGTAGAAAACATTGGCGATTCAAATGGGCGTCTCAAAACCGTACTTTTTCCAGTGGCGCAGAATTTTTTTTTTTCTTTCAATTTCAACACCCTGTCTCGAAAATGCGGTTTTTACTAGACTTCCTATATGTACTTCAAGTTTTTATTTACATTGTTGCCACATGTTTTTTTTTCTGGAAAGAGCCGAATTTTGGCTTTGACGAGAGCAGATTCTCTCTTCTTTCGCCACTTCATATTGGCTTGATCACTTGAAATTTGTTAAATGTGTTGTCCTCAAACTGTGAATTAAATGAAACTTGATAATAACGTCACACAATGGGCGAAATCCTTTGCTCTTACACTATTATAGTGGCTGTCAGATAATACTGACTAATGAAATATATGTGTATGTCTTCTTCAATCATACTTATCTACAATTCTACAATGGTCAAAAGTAACTTGTATTTTTCTTTTATTCTTAAAGTGCAGTTTGATACTGAATGTTGACATACTGTCATATGAAGTTTTCTTCTTAAAATGGATTCTAAAATCACTCCCTTAAATATGGACATTCAATTAGAAATATACAGGGTGTTTCATAATATATGCGCAGGACTTCAGGACGTGATAGCTCATCCAAAAATATGAAAAAACGTTTCTATTAACTTACCTTCTAAAATGCCCCATTTTTGAGATACAGGGTGTTGAAATTGAAAAAAAAAATTCTACGCCACTGGAAAAAGTACGGTTTTGAGACGCCCATTTGAACCGCCAATGTTTTCTACACAAAAAAGGTACTCTTGGTCATACGCTCTAAAGTCGACCGTTTCCGAGAAAATCTAATTTTGTTTCACCAAATATGTATGACCATGTATTTCAACATTAAAATTTGATTTTTCTCGAAAACGGTCGACTTTAGAACGTATGACCAAGAGTACCTTTTTTGTGTAGAAAACATTGGCGATTCAAATGGGTGTCTCAAAACCGTACTTTTTCCAGTGGCGTAGTATTTTTTTTTTCAATTTCAACACCCTGTATCTCGAAAATGGCGCATTTTAGAGGGTAAGTTAATAGAAACGTTTTTTCATATTTTTGGACGAGCTATCACGTCCTGAAGTCCTGCGCATATATTATAAAACATCCTGTATATATAACTCTCTACCTGATCAATGTGAAAATAAATCTCTAGAAATCTTTAAAAAAATTACTGAAAAAATTTCTTTTGTTTTAAAGTTTGTGTTTATGTATTGTTAATTTTCTTATTGCATGTGTCTATATAAAATGTATATTAAATAATTTAAATCTAAATAACAATGTATATTTGTATTTTGGTACTCGGTTGAGTGAAACAGCTATGCTAGACTCCGCCGAGGCTTATTAAAATAAAGACGTTTTTTATTATTATTATTATTATTATTAAATATTAAAAGTGGAAAAACCAGAATAAAACATGTTAATACTTGACAGGGAAGTACTACAATTTATTTAAAATTACATTTGATTAATTTTGGAAAAAATCTTTGTTAATGAATATAGAACATTATAATGATAGCAAACTAATTTATTAAATAACTAATAGGCCCATACAAATACAAAAAAATGTATTTTCGAACGGTGACAATAAAAACGCATCATTTAACTAATCTCCACTTTTCACCACGATCCTTTTCCCTCCGAACGAGCGCCGACACACGTGAAAACAAAGTGTAGTCGTTTCCAATAGGCAGTAATTACCAATTTGGCCCTCGCAATTGTCCGGAATGCGCGGAAAGCAAAGAATTCAAACGGCCACCGTAGTCTGGAATGGAGAGGATCCGCCCCCCACCACCGCGGTGCTTTCCAGATGGGCTGGAATATTTGAATTATGACTATAAAGTTCTGACATATCATGAAGACGCCTGTCAGTGCGATTGTAACTTTTGATTGTGGCGCGGTCATGTAGGATAATTGTTTGGAAAAATTAACGGCATTAAGTTTAATTAAAAAAAAAATTAATATTTCTTCTATTTTTAAATGGTGATTCGTATTTTTGACTAGGTATGTAAATTTAAATATTTTAATTTATGGTATTTGTTATCGAAAATAAAAAAAAGATGTATGTAATAGTAAAAAATCAAAATAATGTATTATATTTTTAAATTAAATTATCTAAATGTTAATGAACACTCGTAACTTTTAAATATTTTAATATAAATAAAAGTTATTAAAATATATTTTTTGTACAACTGTCTAAAAACTTGACATTTCTGCACCTCTATTGATGCCAAAATAATTCACAAAATAAACATGAAATATTACTTTTAGAAGGATTTATTTTTAACAGAGTCAATTATTAAGGAAAAGAAAAGTATTATTTAGTTATTTTGGACTTATTTTTTTCAGACTGGAAAAATTTTTAAATACGTTTTTACTGAAAACAATGAATAATATTTTCAAGACAATAGTCGTTTAAAAGCGATAACTTATCGGGACAAAAAACCACGTCAAAATTTATTGGAAGTATTTATTTTTAATATATTTCGGACGATGCAAATTCACATTGACACTTCTACAAAAAAATGTCTTTTGTATTTCGTGTATAAAATTCATGTTTTCATGGCACATTCGAGAGAATTTTTATTAACACTCTCATATGCAATTTAAAAGCTTATTTTACGCACTTAATACAAAAATAACTATTTTTAATGAATTTAATTTAAAAAATATACTATTTTGTTATTGTTATAATGTTAGTTTTACTTTTTTTTATTAATGATTGAGTGAAAAATTTATCCAAAAAAATTCGACCTACAATTATAAGATCTAAAAAAATAAAAGAAAACGAAGGACTTCATAAAACAATATTTTTACTAGCCTTTAATAGTTGTTAAATCATTTCGAAAATTTTATATAACTATTTTAATTCAATTTTTAATTTTTTTTTTTTTTTTAGTTTTTGTTACTAAAATGTACTCATTCTATCGAGCATGGTTATCACTAGGACCATGCGGTGGTATACCCTCTTTCCATCCTTCAACATTACCATCGTCACCACTGAATTTATCATCTACAGCGACATCTCTGCCCGGTGTTCCCGATGTAGTGTTACAAGTAGGACCGGGATTAACACAATTTTCAGCCCACAAAGCCGTTTTAGTGACGCACAGTGGATTTTTCAAAGCGGCCATAGCTAACCAACAAGGTAAATTAACAAATGTAATATACAGGGTGTTTTTTAAAAATTCGAGGGGTTGTTCCTTGGGCTAATCTAAGAATATTTTGTTCTTTGATGATGTTTAAAATTCCGATTCGGGAAAACTATTTTTATTATTTTTAAAATTATTAATAGTCTAAATAAAAATAGGTACTACACTGTGTTAACCAAGAACATACAACTTTTTTAAAAATTCGTTTTTATTATTTTTTAACATTTCAATTACTAAAAACGGCTAAATTTTCCACTTAACAAAACGGATTTTCAAAAATCATCAAAGGACAAAATATTCTTAGAATAGTCCAAGTAACAACCCCTTAAATTTTTGCCGCATGTTTAAATAACTGTAAAAATTTAAATTTGTTTAAATCCATAGAAACAGAAAAAATAGAGCACTTTTATCTTTTACAAGATGTAGGGATAATTTCTTTTTTTTTTCTATTTTATTTATATTCATTTTTGGTTTTGTTTTTTTTTTATTTCAATCAAAATGTTCTTATACTATTTTAAAAAGTACTAAAATCTCAAATTAATTTATTTTACAGAAAACAGAGTGAATAAAAAAATAATTTATTATCTGAAACTATTGCTTTTTCTCCTAAATTACATAAATAACATTTATAATGGTAAAAAAATAGATTAAATTAAAATCAGAGGATACACTTTTAGATTGTTAATAATTATTTGCAAAAAACGCAAATTGATAAAAAAATATTATTTAATTTGAAACTAAGACAAATTGAAATATAAAACAGAAATATCAGAACTATATGTAACTTTAATTAATATAATTGTTTTTTTTTTTTTTTTTTTTTTTAAGAACCTACTTATTATTTATCATATTTAAACAATAACATATTAAACTAATTCAAAAATTGATAATTTGAATATTAAATTTATTATAAATCTATTTAAAATTTAAAAACTACAATAAATATTAAATTATACTTTTATTATTACATGATTTTTTTAATATTATTTACTAATTACTTATAAGTAATGAATATTTTATTATTCTACAAGTTGTGACCAATTACAAAACAAAATTATTTGTTGGTTTGACTTAAGAAAATGACAGTTACTCAATTTATATAGAATGTCAAATTTAAAGATATAAAGATTTTGACGTTTGTTAAATGGAAAAATTTTAATGCTGCTATCGAATGTAGGTTATTTTGGTATTATGATAATTAATGTATCAAGTTTTAATTTTTTTCCAAATATCTCAAGAGACATTTTTTTTATATTCAAAATCTCAAACTATGAATTGGGTTACAAATAGTTTACTTTTTGTCCCATTTAACAGTCTTAATTTAAATTAGGACACGCAATGCAACGATATTTAAATAAAAATTGATTTTGGAAAAAAAAGATTAAAAATTGGGAGTAATGGGGGGTTAAAATATTAAAAAAATCTTAACTCAAAAACGAAAATAAGTATCAACTTGAAATTTTTAGCAAAAATCAAGTTCTATGAGGGAACTAAGTCTATTGATTAAAAAAAAAAAATCTGATTAAAAATGGGGGGGTTAGGAGGGGTTGAAATTAAAAAAAAATCGTAAATAAAAAACGAAAAGCGAAATCAACATGAAATTTTTAGTCAAATTCAAGTTCTATATGGAGATGAAACCTATTAATTTTGAAAAAATCTGAATAAAAATGGGGGAGGGTAATGAGGGGTTGAAATATTAAAAAAAAATCATAATTCAAAAAGAAAAACGATATCAACTTGAAATTTTTAGCAAAAATCAAGTTGTATGAACGAACTAAGCTTATTGATTAAAAAAAAAATCTGATTAAAAATGGAAGGGTTGGGAGGGGTTGAAATAAAAAAAAATCATAAATAAAAAACGAAAAGCGAAATCAATATGAAATTTTAAGTAAAATTAAGTTCTATATGAAGATGAAACCTATTGATTTTAAAAAAAATCTGAATAAAAATGGAGGGTTATGAGGGGTTGAAATATTAAAAACAAAATCCTAACTCAAAAACGAAAAATGAGATCAACTAGAAGTTTTTAGCAAAAATCAAGCTCCAATACGAGATAAAACCTTTTGATTTTGAAAAAATCTGAACAAAAATAAGGGGGTTATTAGGGGTTGAAATATTAAAAAAAAATCCTAATTCAAAAAGAAAAACGATATCAACTTAAAATTTTTAGCAAAAATCAAGTTCTGAGGGAACTAAGCCTATTGAATTAAAAAAAAAATCTGATTAAAAATGGGGGGTTAGGAGAGTTTAAATTAAAAAAAAATCAACATGAAATTTTAAGTAAAATTCAAGTTCTATATGGTGATGAAGCCTATTGATTTTGAAAAAAATCTGAATAAAAATGGGGGATTGAAAAATTAAAAAAAATTAAAATGTTCAGGAATAATTAAATTTTATAAGGGGATGAAGCCTAATAATTCTGAAAAAAATCTGATTGAAAATGGAGGTTAAGGGAGGCTATTAAACTGTGATGAGTATAACATAGAATGCTAGACATTATATATCTGCATTCTAGTTGTTTTTTCATAAAAACCCATGTAGCTAATCCCTAATGAATATGTCAAGTCAAATTAAATAAATTTTTTTCAAATTTTAATTATTTTTTCTCCATTATATATTCTTTTTAAAATTTGCTACAAATAATAGGCAGTAATGTAATCTCAAAAAGACTACACAAAAATATAAATAATTTATGAATCATTTATAAAATTAAAATAAGCAAATGGTAACTTTTACAGTAATAAAGCAAAACGATTATTATTTTGAATAATTGAAACTACACGTTTTAAAAATAAAGGATTTTACTTTTAGACAATAAAAAATAAGGTTAAAAAAATCATAAACCAAATGGAAATTCTTTAACAAATACCATCATTAGCCGAAAAATCAAGTTATTTTAACAAAGTTATAGCAGTTTTAGAAGTTTATTTTAACCTTTGAAGACGTGTTTTTTTTAATAATTTAATGTTGTAGCTTATCATGTCATTACAATAAGCCCTTCAAGTTAAAAATTGGGAAACAAATCCCACTACGAATTATCAAGACCATCCCGCAATCTCAAAATTAAAAACAAATACTTGGAGATTTGAAAAAAAGCCTGTCCCGCCGAGAATTGAACCTGGACTTCCTTCTAGACCAGCTGTACTCAACCTTTTGTTCTTTCGGGCCACATAAATCTGTTTGTTATGTTACACGGGCCACAATATCACAATATTTATGGGTGATAACCAGAATTACCACCTCTTTGAAATGTAAATAAAGCACAATGGGTGACGATAGGAATCGCTTTAAAGATTTTCTAAAAAAAAAGGGGCTTCATGTTGTTTTAATAAGCTTTAGGACAATTTGTTTCAAAAAAAGGACTATATGGCATTCCTAATAATAGTGTTTGGCGCTACACAAAAAAGCTTGGAGGGCCGCACAAAACAGCTTGAAGGGCCGCAGGTTGAGTATGGCTGTTCTAAACCATCACGATTATTGTCTTGTAATGTGAAACATGAGAGATTCTGAACTAAGTAACGTATATTTGTCGCACAGGGTACATTTTCATCCAATTAGTGGAATAACAAAATGCAAACTGCCAATAAACAACAGTAACAAACGTGTTAGTGATTTGAATCATGTACAATTCACACGGCCTGCTTCACGTACATTAACATTATTTTTGACAGCTTTTATCAATAATTTTTTAAGATCTTACATGTATAATGAGTTTCACGTGGCTCATCAGAACTAAACATTTTTTTCTGCGGTTAACGTGTTAAATTTTATTTCTTTTTCAGGTTCTACTCCCATTACAGTCCCGAATATAAACGTAGACGAATTCTCTTCCCTATTAACCTTCATGTATACCGGATACCTGGATCTCAATATAACAAACATCTACAACATTCTTCTAGCAACACACATTCTTCATATGCCCAGAGCGTTAGAAATATGCAGATCTTTTTTACTTCAAACGCAACCTCCGGAAATAAGAACCAATATTATCAAACCGATACCGAGTAGAAAAACGGCATTACCGACGCAAGAAATCTACCCTCCTACATACGGTTGTTTAAAGAAATCAGAAGACACTCCTTTCAAGGCTGTCAATTCTAAAGACCACATATCGATTATACAGCAAAGACCGTCGACTTCGAAAAATGAAGATACAGAAATTAACGTGGTAGTCCAACAAACTGCCACTCAAAAGAAGCTACCTCTAGACAAACAAAAGCAAAAGAAACGACAATCCAACTCTAACGAAAAAGTTATTATCGACATCGCTTGCTGTGATGGACCTGTAAAATTCCACAGGGTAGTAAATAAAAATTACGGCCTCATTCCGACCGTAGAAGTGTACCAAAGACAAGAAATTAATCAAAACGACGTACTGAATAAAGTAATGAACGAAAATATCAGAGATAGATTAGACGACGAATCAGAAAATCAAAGTAACGAAGTATTCACTTGTATCTATTGTAATCATACTTTTAAATCTCAATATTGCTACCAAAAGCACGCTAGAAGACATTTGAATCCGATTAGTATAGAACCGAAACAAACTCCGAAGGAGGTTAAGAGAGAAGTGAAATTATTGGACATGAATGTACAGTATTATCCTTGCAAAACGTGCGGAAGCAAATTTCCGAGTTACTATTTCGTTCACAAACACAGAAAATTATGCCACGCCGAAGAAATGGCCGACAACGCCAATAAAAATAACGAAATGGTACCCGAAAATGTGGAAAACACCGACAGCAGTTGCAGTGCAATCGACGTAGAAGCTGTCAACTCTGATAAATAATTGTAAATATATGTAATATAATTAAATTGGAGCAAACATATCAATTTAATTAAACATTTAAAGTCATTACTAGGATTAATGTGATTATATTTTATAACCACCTACTACATCGGCAATTTTAATAAATTATTTAAATCAATTTTCACCGGTTTATTTCAATTAAAAATGCGCTTTTCTGAATTTTAATTAAAATAATTTCAAAATAGTCCCGCGATTAATAATCGATTATATCAATATTGCGATATTGAAGCTAAAAACTATGAAGTATAAAACATTTATAATATGAAAAAAAATTGAAATTCAAATTGGTGAATATTATGTATTAATTTGTCCAAACTGATTAATTATTTTATGATTTGTTTTAACTTTCTTAGTATTTAATATTTGAAAAAAGCTAATAAATTCTTAATTAACAGAATATTATGTACACAGAACGCTTCTTTTCAAATCTTGAAACCTGATGAAACTTTTTAATTTTTTTTTTTAATTAACAATATATAAAATATTTCAAAAAATATTACCTTGAATATTGTTAGCTTCTTCGTCACTGGTTTCGACCAGAGCATCTTTTTCTTTTCTTCTCTCCTTCTTCTTTTTATTTTCTCCTAACGTAGATGTCATGTTTTGATCACTGCAAAAAAAATTAACATTATCATCATAATCGTCATAAAAAAAAATTATAAAATTATAAAATTACTGTCTAGAGATTATCAATTTTTTATTAAGCATAAATCATTCATACCAGATAAAAATGATGATATTCATTATATCACATCATTAGAATATAAATAATGAAACAGTGTATAATGAGTAATATTCTATTTGAAAAAAAACTCAAAATCTATACAACAAATGCAATGCAAGCGGAGTTTTTTTCAAATAGAAAAGATTATTTACATAGTCTCTTTAATGCAGAAACAGACCTATGACTACAAGTAGAGCTTGGATTATATGCAAAATGCAATATCTAAAATAATAATGCATATCTTAAATAATAATGCATATCTAAAAATAAAATATTGCTTATTTATCATTATTTTGTAAACATTACAATATTTTTCAATTGTACCTGCATTTTACCACGAAATATTAACCAAGTGGGTATTTTGCTTTCTAAACTACTAGGTATTAAGGATTAGGACAATTAGGGGATGATAGCGATAGCAAATGGCTTCATAAAATTTATCTGTTTTTGTGTAACAGGTAGAGTGAGTTTCTTGAGTTTTGTGCTTCGATTTTTGAGTTTCCTGAGTTTTTGTGCTTCGATTTGTGTGTATATAAACTTTAATTTGTTATATTTTTTGAATTCCTAATTAATTTTGTGTATATTTTGGTAAGTACATTTACAAAACTATAAATATTAATCTCAGAAGAAACCGAACATCCTGAAATATTTTAAATACCTTTTAAAACCAGATTTTTTGTAAACCATATTTTTCTTATCTTAAGAGCTATTGCTGCGAAAATGAAATAAAATTCGTAGGTTTTATATATTTTATCACCAAGTTCTTAATATTTAAGGTATTGTACGTGATATTTTTTTTGTTGCTATATAGTAACTTAAACTACAGTTCTGTAGTATGAAATCAACAAAAAGTATTATCACAGCACAGAAAAAAAAATTTAAAAAAAAAGTCAGTATAATCACTGTTTTAAGGATTTGGTGAACATATTATTATTTTTTGATGAAAAAACTGAAACTAAAATTAAACACTCAGATAAAACAAAAAAAAATTTTTTTTCAATACAAATTGTAAAGGAAAGATTTCTCTAGAGAATTCTTAAAAAAAAATTCTAATCGAATAAAAAATAAAAGCAGAATCCTTAAAACAGTGATCATACTCTGAAATTTTTTTTATTTTTTTTTGCGTTTTTTGTTGATTTCATACTACAGAATTGTAGTTTAAGTTACTACATAGCAACAACAAAAATATCACGTAAATACCTTAAATATTAAGAACTTGGTGATAAAATATATAAAACCTACGAATTTTATCATATTACCGAAGCACTAGCTCTTAAGTAACTTTAATTTGTATTATTATTTCAAAAATTTTCCTCGTTTAGCTCGTTCAAAATGGAACAGAAAAAATTATTAGGCAAAAAGGGCCAAATTCTTCAAAGTCAAACGAAAGAAATAATTTCAAGCCTCATAAATTTTATGAAAAACGAGGCTGAACACGGTATTCAAATACCATTACACAAATACAGAGAGAGAATTTTAGCTGCTACAGGGATTTCTAGAAGCAGTTATTCTAGAATTAAGAAGATGGCTGGTGAAGTAGAAAGTGGAGTTAGTACTTCATTTTCACAAAGAGGATATACAAAAAGAAGTGCAGTTGTAGCATTTATAAGGCCTGAAGAGTTGGAAAAACTCAGAGGTATAATCCATGATTTTCATATTATTGAGAAAAGACTACCAACTCTTCTAAATTGTAAGTTACTATTTTGATTATAATGGCAACGTATTTAATATAAATATTATTTTAGATATATTACAAAAAATGAAGGATTGTCGTTTTGAATTCCGGGACAGCATCTCATCACTTAGGAAAACATTATTAAACATGGGTTTTAAGTAAGTATAAATAACGTTATCTAAAAATATCAAAATAAAATGATACCAAAATAATTAATTTCTTATAGTCAATTTTTGTACGTATAAAATTACAATGTTTATTTTTTCAGGTGGAAAAAAATGAAGACAACAGATCTGTTCTGTTGGAATCCTACGACATTAGGAATAAGAGGACAAATTATTTAAAATCCTTAAAACATTATCGGCAAGAGGACAGAACTATTTATTATTGTGATGAGACCTATTTACATAGTAGTCTTACACATTTGAAAGGATGGACAGATGGCAAAGGCAAATTCAAAACTCCAATGAGCAAGGGGAAAAGGCTCATAATGTTGCATGCAGGGAGTAAGGATGGTTTTGTGGAAAATGGACTGTTGATATTTACTTCAGGTAATAATCTATTTTTTAAAGAAAATTATTTATTATTTGCGTCTTTACCTACTTCATAAAAATCCATGATGCTTAACAATCGAAAGTTATGATCAGCTTAAATTTAATTTAAACTGTTAAAGTATCTAATTAACAAGTAATTTAAGTACTTAATGTAGTGGTTTATTTTATTATCTTCAGTTTAGTTAAAAGATCTTTACCTGTACTTAATCTTTATTGTTATACAAGGGAAAGTTTTTAGTAATAACTTTTTCTTAGGATTATTATAATAAGTCTTATCATCTTGAAGAAATATTTCTTCTAAAAACAGATTATTTTTTAAGTGATTTGAAATTCCTAATAATGTTTGCTTAACTAAGCAATTATTTCATTTAAGAGTTTTTTTGTAAGTTTAAGTATTATACAAAAATAATTATGAAAAATATACTTGCATTATAGATAATAAATTCTTTTTTACTTTTTTTCAGGGAAAAAGACAGGAGATTATCATGATGGAATAATTTTTCCCAATGGGTTAGAAGGCAGTTACTACCAAATCTTCCTCCAAGGTCTGTACTTTTATTCAATAATGCAAGTTATCATAATGTAAAATCTGAAAAATCGATTACAATGTAGACCAGAAAAGCAGATTTAATTAACTGGCTGATTAAAAACAATATACCACATGATGCTAAAATCACCAAACCAGAACTGTACACATTAATAAAAGTTCACAGACCTCCACCGAAATTTCTTTTAGACGATCTTCTCGAAGAACATGGACACAAAGTTTATACGATTACCTCCATATCATCCCGAATTAAATCCCATAGAAAAAATATGGGTCACAGTAAAAAATTGGGTGGGTCAACATAACACAACATTCAAGTTGGATAATGTTAAAAGTTGGCAAGAGAAAAATTCTGAAGCATAACGCCGGAGGAATGGGCAAACGTGGTGAACCATTCCGCGAAATATGAGGATGCATATATTCAAAGAGAACACCTTATGGATGAATTTACAGATTCCCTCATATTTAGTGTACACACGGGGTCATCCGATGAGTGGGAATCCGATATTTCCGACTTGGAAGATGATGAAGATGATGAAAATGTTTAAAATTATACAAATTAAATTAAAATATATTATTTATTTAAACTTTCAGTTGTTTTATTAATTTAAAGTTCATCAGCAATTTAACTAACGAATAGTTAAAATTTAACATTAACTTATTAATATGTTCGATTTAAAATATTTTATTAATGTATACACGCCACTGCTAAGATATCAGGTACCCCTACCGCAGCAGATTTCAGCCCAGCGCCATCAACTAACGCTCCACAAAGTTATGACGTACTGCGCGAACTGTGGCATAGCTATGAAGAAATGTGCGCTTCACAAAAAAATCTAGCTCTACTTTCCTATAGATTTTGCAGTACCTAAATAACGTATAGAATAAATTTCTACAATATACTAGAAAAGTTTTAGATTAAGAGTAATTCTTAAAAAATAAAGCAAACCCTCTATTTTGTTACTCTAACCTTGTGTGTTATACATATTTATTTCCCTTTTCACTAAAAAGTAATATTTCATTTTCGAAATCCAAACATTTTTTTTTGACACTCAATCACATACATAAAAAATTTTAAAACGGTCCTGTCCTTTTTAAATTTTCGAAGACTGCCCTGATATCTAATCGATTTTTTTCTTCAAAGTAATTATGTTGTTTAACCTTTGTTTATAAAGGTATCTGACATCTCGCCCATACACACGAATTTGAAAAGCAGCAGCTATAACAAAGTCTGTGAAAAGAAAACTTTTCATATCCTGAAAACGTCAAGTGTCAACTAAAATTTATACTCAAACGTACCGCCTCAGAGTGATTGATACATATAAGGTGAGTTCGGGTTATGCACTCTTTTAACTCTATTCACTCCTAAAGTACCTAAGGCGTTCGGAAACGGAAGGAGTTAAAATAAAAGTTCCTTTTTTACCGTTCGGAGATCATGGAGTGGAGTGTGGATCGAGCATGTGCATAAGGTGATTTAAATCGATAATAAGATAATTGTGACTGATTCTTTAGTAAAAAAGTTCTTTTTTGGTCCATTAATATGGAAGAAACTTACGGGGTTATGATGGACAAGTAATGTTATTTTTAACAGACACGTTATTTGTGAACAGATTGTAATGTCTGTGTTTATAAAATAACAGACCTGTTAAAAATAACTGATAAGTACGATTAGATATGTCACATTGACAACTGACATTGCAGTCCGAGAGTAAAAGGAGTAAAATCATATGCGCATTCCGTTAACGCCTAATTACTCCACTCCACTCTGAAGTGCGCAGCCCGAACTCGCCTATACTGGGGCAGAAAAGTATTTAAATATTTGAATTTGTGGTATAATGATTTTGTTCAATAAAAATAATAAAAAATGCTAAACCCCTTTTCAAATATAACTTTGTGCAACACTAATTTTCGAGCCATTCAGAGGGTAACTCTAGTTCAATATAATGAGCCGTTCATTTGATAAAGATAAAAAATATCAGACAATTGGTAAATCGAATTAAAAAATTTGTAGTTAAAAACATTAATCAAAAACGCTGAATTTAAAAAAAAAAAAAATTCGAAAAAATGTTTAATATTTCATCCTATTAAAGCAATCAATTTGCAGAATTGATATGCAAGTTTATTCAATAATTGTGCACTCAGCGGTAATACAAAGTCTCCCGGGACGTGCCGGTGGTGAAGTGGAGGGCGGAGAGGGTAGAAACACTCGTCTAGATTGTAATCAAAATTGTGTTTGTCAAAATTATGCCGATTGAATCAGAAATATCGAAAGGGGAATTTAATATCTCTTATTTCTCGTACAGTTGGCAGCATCGTTTACTTTTGTTAGCCGTACCCGCTGCGGTTGCCAGTTTCATCGCATTTATTAAAATTATTAAAACGAGAATTGTTTTCCTTACTAGTAATATTTTCTGAACTACTTTCAGCACATGAGAAGAACTGAAGAGTTTACATTTTGAATTCAGTTTTAAGTGGTGCTCCGTTCTTTTGCATTCATATTTTAATTGCAATTAAAGTTTTTGTAAAATTTCAACAATTTTATTAGCCATCTACTTCTAAATAGTAAAATATGAAAACATACAAGTTTGGAATACTTAATTTATTAAATTGGATAGGGATTGGACTCAACTCAACATTTCTCAACACTGTTATGCATGAACCAGGTAATAAAAGAAATAAAAAACGTAAAACCAGCATACCGGGTAATAAAACTTTAATTTTATTAAGTGTAAGGGGTTAAAGAAAAGGTCCTTTATTTCTCACAAGTCAAGTTGACTTGTGAGAAATAAAGGACCTTTTTTTTAACCCCTTACACTTAATCCCTACTACTCACATATGGCTACCCTCACTCCAAAACTTTAATTTTGTGTTGAAGAAAATGAAGACAGAAAAATTCTTCATTCCTATCCAAAGCAAAAACAAAAATGGTGGTTTGGAATGTTTTTACCATGCTGGCAATACATCAATACAACTTATCTTGATTCACATCAAGTGTCAGAAATGTAATAGAGAATAAAAGATCTTTGAAACTTGAAAACTTAAAAATAATATGGAAAAACAAGTATAAGTGTGTTTTAGAAAGAATAGAACTCACGGATATTTAAAATAGTTGTGTGTTCCGTGTAGTAAAAAATAAAAAACAAAAGTGTATTGGGAACACCAAAGATAACTAAAAATGAAAATAAATTAGGATTCCATTACGTCACTCAAGACCATTACTCACAAATGGAACGATGGATATTCGTAATTATTTTTTTGTTTCATTCGTTATGGTCCTGAGAAAGTATTCAGGAAAAAAATTCGGGACAATTACAAAGGAAAGTCGGAAAATTCGGACAAACTGCAAAAATCATAATTTTTCTTTGTACGTCTTCCTCAATAATTACTACATGTAGTGTATTACTACCCAAATCATTAAAAAGTTTAAAGAATAAGTTACATACTATCCTTATCGCTAGCCGGCCACTTGCTACTAATCACTTCGTATTTTTAACCTCATCAATATAAGACGTATAAAAAGTGTGATGTGATTTTATTTTAATTTTGCCATAAAAATGCCCCAAGTCATAAAAATTGTTTTTTGCACAGTAAGTATGTACCAAACGTTAATATTTCTCATTAAATGGAAATTATTAATACAATTTAAAAGAAAATAAGGGTTCTTGATGAATTGACCTTATAATAGATTTACATAGATTTTTATTCATTGTTAAAGAGTGTTATAGATTGTTACAGATTGATTGTTATAGATTGTTATAGCGATGGCTTAGAGCACAAATGTTGTATGTCCAAAAATGTAATTTTGAGTAAAATCGATTTGAAAGTTGGAGGTGACTATGATAATTTTTATTAGTATTACTTTACTGAATGGTAAACCTATTTAAGTAGACGTACTATATTTGGTAACCATAAAGATTTCATCATGAAGGATATAGAATCCTACCTATCCTATTTTCGACAAAAATGCATACAACATATGTGCTTTAAACCAATGATAGATTGTTATAGATTATTAGAACAGAAGTAAAAGTTGGAAAGGCTTTTGCCAGTTCTCCCACTTTATACACATAAATTGACAGGTGTGCCGCGGATCTCACCGAAGTGGACGCGTTTCATTGGCGTACAAAATTATTTTATAGATGTTAATAAAAATTTCAAGTAAATAGTTTAATAAATTGTGAATAGCTGTTGAAATTTTGTAAAATTATGATTTGAATATTATAATACATGTTTAATAATTATTTATAGTCCATAAATACATGCGATTGTACGGTTCCGCCGATAACAATTTAAAATTACTTATTCTATGAAACGACACTGGCAGGTAAACATTACTGTGAAATTCTCGAAGCCGTCCGACGTAGTTTGACGTTTACCCCCTCTCTACCTACCAAAAGCCTTTCCAACTTTTACTTTCGCTATATAAATTGTTATAGATTTTAATAGATTGTTATAGATTTTTAAAAATGTTTATATATTTTAATAGATTTTAATAGATTTTAATAGATTTTAATAGATTTTAATAGATTTTAATAGATTTTAATAGATTTAATAGAATTTTTTTACGTTCATGTCAGTAAACATTAAAAATCTCACTATCAACATTCCTTGTAAATGATATTTAACAATAACATGCAGGTACTGAGATCTCATAACATACACGTACTGAGATCTCATAACATACACGTGCGTTATGATAAGAAAACTTAAATTTCTTGGTTTAATCAAATTGCAATCAAATTGTACGACTTTATTTGGTTTATTTACATAAATTTAGTCATTTAAAAAACAAAAAATTTTAGCATTAGCGAGATACATTTTGGATTAAAAGGTGATGTCCCTAAATGTCGGCAACATATACAATTTTTCTAATATGTCGCGTTTTCTTAGCATGCTATGGAAATAAACGTCATTCCATTTATATTGTCAATTTTTGGAACAAAATCAGGGCTGGTATATCTAATAGTAGTCACATAGTAGTCGCCATTGATCTGGCAACGTGGCAACTTGTAGTCGCCAGGTTTACCAATATAAGAAAAAAAATCAATGTCATTTTTTAAATGACATTTCCATTATAAAATGCCCATATTTTTTAGGATAAAATATTTCAATTTAATAAATTATTAATCTCAGATGTACATAGAATACGTCGCGAAAAGTAGATCACTTTCAATTTTGTGCTGTTTTGGTTTTGTTTATTTTAAAAGGTAATTGAAGAGATGAAGACAATTTTCTTTTAGATGATGCATAACAAATTATTGCTCCCTTTTTTAGAGCTCCAGTCCCTTAAGTCTATTTATTTTAGGTCTTTTTAAATTGTTGGTAGGTATTATTCACTTCATTTGTATGTATGCACGATGCCCGTTCAAACGAACATCAGAAAAGTGTTGCCAACTTAAGCTGACTACTATTTCCCCCCTAGCCTCAGTCACCCCCTCATCCATTTACTGGGTCTATGTCGCGACCCCTTAGATATACCAGCCCTGTAACAAAATATGATTGTATCCAAACATTTTCTCAACTGTACCTGCGAATATGTTTGTTAGCAGTGAAAGTGATGAAATTATGAGCACTCCACCGGAGATTTTAGAAAAAGCTCAAGCTGCCACAGATAATTTGTTACCGCTAAAATTCAAAGAAAGGTACGAAATTACCTAACCTAATTTATGAAATGGCGACACAAGCATAACGTTAAATCCTTTTTTGAGAATGTTGTAAGTGGGCATAGAAAAAGTATAGTAAGTAACACGAGTTGTAAGCCCATTACGCACTCGTTACTTACAACTCTTGTTACGTAATATATATACTAATCGCTTAACATACAAGTTAAAAAAGATAATTTTATTCTATATTAACAGACATTTTTTATGTGAATGGATTAATAATGAATTGGAGAAAATAGTTTTATAAATAATCTATCATTTTTTACTAATCTGTAATAGATAAAAACATTTATTGTAAGAGTACCCTAGAAGATAATCACATGCTATCAATTACTTTTCTGTAGGCATAAGACCTTCAATTTTTTACTACATGGTTTTGATGTCTCTTAAGATTTGGCCAGCATTAGCCATATAAGCCATTTTGTATAAAATATATAAAAATTGTCTACACAAACATTCCTTGTTTATCGCTTTTTTATTAATGAAAACTGTATCACAGTCGTTTGTAGTTTAAAAGAAGTAAACAAGGAAAAAGACTATTTAGATGCCGAAGTACTAATATGATTTAACTGCTATTACTTTTAGTACATGGTGCCTTAGTTGCTCAATTTATATATTTAAAGAAATAATTGTAAACTTTCATTGAAATTTACTGCCTTTAAATTTTAATAAATAAATAAAACGTATTTTCTTTTAAATTATTTTTGTATATTTTTTGTAGATTTCCCGGATGTTGTTCAATAAAAAAACTACTATATAAAATATTTATTTATTTTTAAAAAGAAATATGAAAATAAATTCTGTATAACCATAATAAAAATAGTATTACTAATTTGAATTGAAAACATTTTCATTATTTTGTATTTTTTTTTATCTTATCCCTCTTTTTAATATCCCTCTGTTCTCGTTGTCAGCAAAAATAAGAAAAACTGGAACCCCTACCCCTTGGCCATGCTTATGTAATACTTAAAAGCAACCTGATCAAATCAACATTTTGAATATTTCTCATAAACAAGTTTTAATTATATCTTACCTAACTATTTCTTGAGGAGATTCCAACTCCTTTTTGACAGTTACTCCGTCCATCAAGATTTCCTGTTTTATTCCATCTGGCATGATCGAACTTCCATTCCCCGTTTTCACTACATCCTCGCCACAAGAAAATACACATTTGCCACCAGAAGTCGCCAGATCCTCCGACGACGTCACCGTTGACGTACTCACCGGCGTACCCGAAAACCCGAGGAAAGTCTTTGGCTTCACGTCCTCTAACGACGTCGAGGTCAATGTCGTGGTTGTTGTATCCTGAATCGCGGTCGCCCCAATGACGTTCTCACCCTCCAAATTCGTCGTCGTTACCGAAGCGGTCACCACCACCGACGACGTCCCGCTATTACTACTCGAAATCACAGAAGTGCTGGTGGACGCCATCTCCGAGGAGGTGGTGGCCGTGGTGGGTGAAGGGGTGGGCATGGCGCCCGCCGTCGTCGGCGTCGTAATCGCCGCGCCCGGCGGACTTGCCACCGAAGATGTCGGCGTTGTTGTCGTGGCTCCAGGTGTAGGTGTCGAAGCCGCGGGCGGTGTGGCCGCCGTGGCGGGGGGTTCACCGGTCGGTTGTTGAGGCTGACTACCGGGCTCGTTTCGCGAAGGTTGCACTACGGTCCTCGCTTGTTGTTCTCGTTGGAGGCGGGTCGTTACACCTGCAACAGAAAAGAAACCGTCAGTCTAGTTAAAACAAAATATCAAGCAGAATATTAGGAAAATACGGTACAAAGGAGTCCCAAGAAAAATAAAGAATTGTACAAAGAGGCGAATTGTAAAATACATTCAGTCAAACGTGGATGCGTCTTATCGTCACTACTAGCATATTGTATTTAGATCAACTAGTAAAACAATACCAATGCAAATTATCTTGGAGGATAATGGACAGTATCAATAGATGGCAGTAAGGTCCGTGGTGTCCGAGTCATGTCTTTGATAATTTTGTCGCCTTCGTAACGAACGTAATTTCTCTATTTAATAATAGATGAACCGATAATCGATTCGGAATATTTGTTTTAAAAATGAAATATACGAGTTTAATTATGCTTGATGAACATTGATTTACGATTTATCATTTTAGAGAATATAAACAATAGTAATTTAAATTGGGCACTCTATCCATATGAATTTTAAAATTAGGAAAGTTTTATGTATATAGAATTCTATACTCAATGATCGGGGAAGCGCCTAGCGTTCGGGCTACTTTGATGAATTTCTAACAGATGTCACGACAGAATTGCCTCCAATAGACCTTTTCATCATGTGATGAGCGCAAGCGCAGCCACCATGTTGAAATAGCGGTAATTCAAAAGTTTCGTACTGTTTTGATCGACAATGGCTGGGAAAGCAGTGTTATCTCTACAGAAAAATTAATCATTAGAAAAAATCGTTGATAGTGAATAACTTTTTTATAACTCTGTGGAAGCGCATAGTTGTAGGCAGTTGAAAAGGAGGTTGAAGTGTCTTGGATGTTTGTTACAAAGGAACAAAGTGGACTAATTGAGAGGTTAGGTGTATCAATACTTTTTAACTCTGTAAAAAATTAATGAAAACAAATAATAATTATAACTTTATTCTAATTAATTATGCCAACCAACTATTACTACTTGCAAAAACACTTTAATTAGCATGAAAGTTAATCACGAGTATAATTAATAAAATAAATTATTTATTATTTTGAGGATCAACATGACATTTTTAATCATTTAATGTGTATACCGAAGTAGTATTTAATATTAAAAAAATATTGTTTAATACCACATGCGAATTTTCTTCTGTTGGACCACTTTCTCCATGAAAATGCAGTGAAATATAAGTATCTTTAGTAACATCATTAATCGATCGAAAACCGTTGTCACTTCGACCATATTTTTTCACACTTAATGCACATTTCGAATATCTTTTAATATGGATTTTGCCTGATAATTGTTTACGATATTGCAGTTAAGGCTTTGGAAAATTTATAAAATAATATCTATTGCCTTTGAATGATTTATACCGTGTGTCACTTTTACATAATAACACTGTTTTGTTATTCCTTTCCGTACAGACAACATAATTATAATTGATTGTGAAAATGTATTTTTCAATTAAGACACTAAACTTATTATTACTTTACTTTTTTCTTTCTTTTTTTAAATGAATATAGACTTAAATTAATATTTATCAATTATAATTTTTTTCACGTAAGCATTTTAACATAGGTACTTGTTTACTCCGAGCAAGAGCTTGTTTACAAAAACAGTACGAAAAAGATGGCTGAAACTGACGCATGCGCACAAAAAAAAATTGTGATGAAAAGGTCTATGAAACGTCCATAAGGTTGTTCTACTATCTTCTCTAAATACAATGCTACTAGTTAATATTTGCATGATTGTATTAGTAAATAGGGCATTTTAAAAATACAAAGCATTTTTAATTGTGAGAACAAGTATTAAAAGTAATTTAAAAAAATCGACTTCAAAATCGTGCCGATATCATCACCACATCTTGACCAAATTTATATAGGACCACCCCTGAGGTATACCCTTTCTAACAAAAAAAAAGAATCATAGAAATCGGTCAAGGTGCAAAGAATTATCACTAAACATACATAAAAAATGAAGAGTTTTCTCATGGACCCAATTATTAGATTTTGACCAAATTTATATGGGACCACCCCTGAAGTACCCCCTTTGTAACAAAAAAGAATCATTGAAGTCGGATACCGTGTTAAAGAATTATCGCTAAACATACATAAAAAAATATTACAACGAATTAAGAACCTCCTCCTTTTTTGAAGTCGGTTAAAAAGATAAGAATACTGGTCAAAAAAAAAAAAACATTTGGAACATTGTAAACACTGTAAGAAGTAAAACTAATTATACAAATAGGAGAATCATTAAAATGGGACGCCATGTTAAAGAATTATCGCTGATAATAGATAAAAAGAAATTTGAAGCACTGATTGAAGAATAGACAAAAGGCGATAATTACGTCATCTCTTGCATGTTACTCTATACAGGGTGTTCGATAATTACGGTACATAACTTCAGGCGCGTATACGCTAGTTCGGTGTGATGTCATTTTGGTTCTACTGACATTTAATTCTAACCAAACTTTTAACAAAAACAAATAAATTTAACATATACGTTTTTACTGTTTTTAGTTTATTTCTAAAATTGTTTACAGGTCATAAAAAATAGTTTAAAGGTATGTAATTGGTAACTAAACGATAGTATATTTGATGCATGTTATCTACTTACTTTAGGAATATATTTATAAAAGTAAAAAAAAAAGGATATAATTTAGGTAAACAAAACGAACAAAACGCACTCAAAAAATCTACTGTCACTTTAATTGTCAGTGGAACCATAGTTACATCATCACTGAACTAGCGTATTCTGGAGTTAAAATAAAAGTATTTTTGTCATATATACTATGTCACAAAAATGCTTCGTTACGGAAATACAGGGATGTGAAAGTTTCATAAAAAAAATACAATTTTTTAAATATTTCCAAAACCACTTAAGATATTTAATCAAACTTATCAACAAAGGACCTTTTTTCTTCCAAATCGAACAATCAAAAAACTAAATATTGAAGTAACACGTTTTTCCTTCCAATACAAGTACAAAACGACAACAAAATCAATACTATTAATTCTGATACACTGGATATTAATATAGGAGTTCCTCAGGGTTCAATTTTGGGACCCATATTGTATGTAAACAATGTTGACTCATTAATAGGTGATAATTATTATACAGGGTGTTAATGAATACGTGATACAGATTTTTAGGGCATGTAGAACATGCAAAAATAGAGTGAAAAGTTCATATAAACATGTGCACTTGGAGCTTTGGTTTCGAAGCTAGAGCTCTTTGAAGATAGCGTCTTCAGGTCAATTTTTTTCAAATATCTTCAGAAGCTCCAAGAGCACATGTTTATATAAACTTTTCACTCTATTTTTGCATGTTCTACATGCCCTAAAAATCTGTAACACGTATTCATTAACACCCGATATAAGCTATGCAGATGATATCTTAAGAGATACAACACAGTTTTACAATGGAGTCCAAAGGCAGAAGTGCCAGGGATAAAGGAGCAAACAAATTTGAGAAGAGGACTGAGAAGAATATTCCACAATAGCGTCAAAATCATGGATACTACATCTATTCATTATAAAATCTATACAAAAATGGCTCCTTTATTGCCTATTTTATTGCCACACCATAAAAGAACGGATTAAATAATAATAATAAACCACCCTATTACCTTCATAAATACCAGAAATACCGTCAAACGGGGTTAAGTGAATCACAATGGGTAAAGTGAACCATTCGGTCATTTCCGTTATAAGTGACGAGTATTATATTTTTAGTTCGTAAATTTCTTCTTTGCTTTATAATTAAAAGTATGGATGTGCACGAGCTTGATCGAGCAGGCTCGGTTCTTGCTTGTATTGCTCGAGTACGCTCGAGCGGAGCTCCGAACAGTACGACCAGTCCGATGCCCGAGCGGTACCTGTATAATATTCGGCTCGAGCGCCTCGCGTATCGGCTCGGCTCGAGCCTCGAACGATCCGAGTGTTCCGTACTCCGAATCATTCGAACTCTCGGTAATGAACTTATCATCGAGTAATTTCTCCATACCTAGTTGCATATTATTTAATAAAATGAATAAAACCTCGATCGTCCCTTAGTGTGACTCTGTAAAAGCAGCCTCATCAGAGAGATCACGTGTACAAGGCGTGATAATGTTTTCGAGCACTCCATTGCTTAGATGGACCGAGTTTATGACTGGTTACTTATTCGAAATATCAAATAATTTTCACTTTTTCGAATTAAGAAAATCCTATATACTTGCTGTAAACGTAAATGAAGTTAAAAACTTATTCTTATTACACTTATATTACGGGGACCGAAACACATTAATCACTTTTCACCACTAAATTTAATGTTGAATGATTCATTCAGAGTACGGAACGCTCGGATCATAAGAGACTCGAACCGCTCGAGCTGTATCGGTACGCGATGCGCTCGTATTGTTCGGAGCTGCATTGTAGCGTGCTCGAGCTGCAATTTTTCGAGCTTGATCGCGAGCGCTCGAACTTTACAAGCTCGTGCACATCCCTAATTAAAAGCTGTTTTTTTTTACTATTTTTAAATAAACGTTTTAGTTCTTTGTATTACTTTTATTTATTTGTTTTTCCAATCAAGTGTTTTTTAGTGGTTCACTTTACCCCGACATTTGCCAAAGTGATTTTCTTTGCGATTTAAACCATGATTCACTTTACCCCAAAATAAGGGGTAAAATGAATCACATTTTACCAAAAAAAATTGGGCACTTCTAAGCAAACTAAAAATATCAAAATTGGTTAATAGTGAGAGATAAGCCCCAAACAACATACGTTATTTTTCACAGATTTTTAATATTTGCAGTTTTGGAATATTCTGAGAAAAACAGTTTTAGTGATTCACTTAACCCCATTTGACGGTAACTATTCACCGATAAATTATAATATTCACGATGCCAATATTAATTCGACAATCAATACGCTCTATTTGTAGGTCCGCGACGAGGAGATGAAAGGTGATAAGTAAGAGAGGGGATAAAGAAGTTTTACACAGATACAACTTTATTTTATCAAATAATAAATGTGTAAGAGGGGATGTAA